GACTTGCTCATTTTGAGGAGATTTTTCGTCTTGCTCTCGTCAGGGTCACCCCATAGGATCTTCGTGGTTTTACTTTGTAGAAAATGTGTGGTTGAAAATACCATCTCTTTCCGAAGTTTCTGTTGAAATTTTGATTATACTTCCACGATATTTTAAAGTCCAAAATAAAACTAAAGTATTTGGTTTTCATATATTTCATATATGAAAATTTTTCCATTTAAATCTGAAAAATTTGAGTTTTAAAATGATAAGACCAATTTATTATTTTAGTATTTTAATAAATTATTAGCAATTAAATAAAACAATGTTGTTTTAAACAATGTACATTTAAAAATTGCTTAAGCACAAAACAATTTGCCATAAATTATTATTAAACAAAAAAAAAAATTATAAAATTAACAAAAAACCACAAACACAATATGCAAAATTATAACATTTATAAAAAGAAATTCAACGTTAATTTAAATATTTAAAAAATGAAAAAACAGAAAGTGTCGTTAAATTAGTGGAGGCCAATTAATAGAAATGTCTGCTTAATAATATTTAAAAAATATATATTTAAATAATATATTTTATGTTTTTGTTTATTTCTTTTCTTATTTCTTTCTAATATCTTTACTATGATTTTTACGATCATTGTCTACACATAAAAATGACACTTGGGATGTTTCCTATAATTAAATATTAACACAAATAATTTTCTTAAAAGAACATAAAGTTTTCTTTGTTGGTAAATATTTAAGTTTTTTTTCTATAAGACTTTTCCTTCCGCCCTCGTATTTTTTTTTTTTTTTCTATTTAAAAATGTTCAAGTTTTTCACACGTTTTACAATATTAATTATAATTTAATTCTATATTTAACAAGTTTTATGCTAAAAGAAAATTAAGTGTAATATAATGTATTCTCTTGAGAATATTAGAAATGTTTTATTATATGGTTTCTGTTTGTTTTAATGATTTGTAATTTATTATCATAATAATTAGAACGTTTATATTTATTTGGCAAAGCCTCTTTATAATTTATCTTTCATTTTGTTTTTACATAAACAAATTTCGAGTACAACTACATATTTACTATAACAATTTGGAAATTTGTTCATATATCTATTTAAAAATTTTATAGATTAATGCCAAAAATTGTTCTGCATTTGAGGTCAGAACCATTCAGTAATTAAACTAGATCGTCGCTACCTTGTTGAATTTTGGTATTTACTTCATATGTTAGGAGTTACGCCCACATTTTCTGGTTCATCCATTGTAATTCAATTCGTATTGACAAGAATATTAAGGTCCTTAATGTGGATACTTTCTGTTTGTAGTTGATGAAAGGGTCATAAGAGATGTAGAGAGTTCACATATCACACCACGCATGGAAAGTTTTTCAATTACTTATCTACACGATACTAGATCGATTGCTTCTCAGCTCACCCTATAAAACAGCCTAAACCTCGACTTGTACCCTACTTAGTGATGGTTAGAATTAGGCATGTGTGACTATCGTCTTTCTCCGTTCGAATGATTGACCAGTCATGCATTTAAATAGAGAGATTTCGAAAAAAAATCTCAGTTCAAAGCTTTAAACTTCTTATACACTCGTAATTTGAACGGCACATTTACTTAGAAGAAATTCCGTTGAGATCTCGTTAAAGTAATTCAAAATTCTGTGGCTCTGATGTATCTCTCATCGGAGATGTCGGAAGAACTCAGGTTTGAGTGGTTGGTTCCTTGCTTGATAAACTAGTAATTTGGAACTCTTTTATATGCACTTTGCTCAACCTGAACTATTGCCTAAGACCTCATTATCAAACTTGACTGAACCAGAATTAGGATAAATGAAATATGGTCGAAGTTTCAATCCCTCTGACATCGTTAATTAGATTCTTGCATCTAGTCTCACCAAAACTTCCTCAGTTTGTGGCTCAATCCATTCCATGACGTGATCTCAATCTACACTGATGGTTCAAAGACAGAAAGGGGCATGGGGTCGGGAATCTTCTCCGAAAAACTGAATCTTCTACTGTCTCTTCGACTGCCTGATACCTGTGCGGTCCCTCAGGCAGAGATATGTGCCATCGATACAGCCGAGAAGAATCCGGAAACTGAATCTCAAAAATTGGACTATACATTATACTATTACTTGGACAGCCTTGCTTCAATCAAGGCTCTTAACTCCAATGTTATTAAGTCGAAATGTCTTCTCAATTGTATTAATCCTTGGCAACATCATCATGAAACGACATTAAGTTGAGTTGATATGGGTTCCAGAACATAAGGACATCATATCTAAAGAATGTGCTACCAAAGGGTCATCACTAAACTTAATGCTTGCGCAAAGGGATATTCACACTCCCCTGGTGACCCTATCAAAATGTATACATGATTTGGCTTTGAGTGAGATGGAACTCAGTCAAATATCACCACTTGGGCTCTCTTGGCTCTTAGTAAGAACTCGATTAGGCTTCTCGCTGGTATAAATTACTGGACACTGTATGATTGGACATATGTCGGAACGCATGGGCTACCCACATTATAGCTACTGTAGAAGCTGTTTGATATCTAAGAAGCCTAACTACGCATTCTCTTACAAAACTTTCTTTAGATAAATAAAGCTTCAGATAATTCTTCACCGCCTTGCTAGGCAAGTCCGTTAATTACACTTACGCATTTCCCCACCCTGAGGCTCCATTTTATCTCAAAAGAGTCTAAACTATATTCTTTTACAAAGTCAGTCAATAGGCGTCAGTTTATGGCTTAATCATTTTCATGTATCACCGATTACGGCGATGCCTTTGCTGTCCTTTAGGTATTCTTTTACGCATTTCCTGACTTTGGGATCCCAATGTATCTCACTAGAGCCTAACTGCGATATCTTAGCAGCTTAACTACACATTATCTTACAAAACTTTCTCTAGATAAAGAAAGCTTCAGATAGTTCTTCACCGTCAGGCTTGGGGTAGTGAAGAAATAGTAATCATTACACCCCATGTTCTTCACCGCCAGGCTTGGGGGGGTAATGACTACATTTTCAATTACAATTACATTTGAAGTAGTTGTAATCATTAACCCCTCATGCCTCTTCACCGCCTTATTAAAAAGTTTGGAGTCCCGGAGCGTTCGTGTTATGCTTTTGGACTAGTTTAATTCACTTTGTCTGTGATCTGTCTGATCTCGGTAATGAATACTTTTAAGCATTTGCTGACTTTGAGAAACCAATGTATTCCACTAGAGTCTAACCGCGATATCTAAACAACTTAACTGCACATTCTCTTACAGAACTTTTTTCACGTGAAAGCTTCAGATAGTTCTTCACCGTCAGGCTTGGGGGGTAATGACAACATTTTCAATTGCCTTATTAAAAATTCCCAGAGCGTTTGTGTTATGCTTATGGACTAGTTTAATTCACTCTGGCTGTGATCTGTCTGATCTCGGTGATGCTACTGATCTAAAATAGTTTAGTACTTGACTCTTTTGTGGAAATGATTAACTCCATCATGTGACTCGATTTCAAGATGTTTTACTGGCGATTTATTCTTAAATTGGTCGTCTATTGTATGGTATATGAGAGAGTGATTAGGATATAAGAGAGTGACTTATGTAGAGACGTTTTTATATATTTTTCTTGTCAATATTTTGATCTAACATGTAGGCTTTGAATGGGCAGTGACGATGCCGTAATAGATGGTCCATACCCTATCCTCAAATATTTTCACCATACAATTGCAATTGAGCAGAATTTTTTTTTCTGATTTGTTACATTTGTTTATAAATATTTATATTAAATTTTGTTAATATTTTTGCAAAATGATTTTGTGTGTTTTTTTTACAGATTATTTGAACAAAATAAAATCTGTTTGTTTTTACTTTTAATCTAATTATTATCTTTTACAAAATTTTATTGAAAGTAAAAAAAAACCTTGATTAAAAACGAAAATTTCAATGTCAACTTAATTAGCCGTACTCATTCACACACGGTATATAATTAATGAAATGAATATGAATAATTTCATTTTTAACAAGAAATAAAAATAATTAATTTCAATTTCTAGCAGTAAAACACACAATGATTTATGTTGTAGATTTTTGTGTTTTTTTATGAGTATTAACTAATTTTTTGGAGGAAAAGTGCAAAAATTATTTTTTTTATTATTATCTTTTCGTAATTAAAACAATTTGTTTATACAATAATATTTGTTCATTCATGTATTTTTTGAAATATTTAAATATAGCATCTTATATTAACGGAAATTGTTTAAAACATTCATTCATTTATTTATTTTTGGAAGAAATTGTATACAAAATTAACTATATATGAAAAACAATATTTATATACTAAACGTTTATTTGGTCAGGATTTTTATTTAAACAAATTATTATGTAATTTATTTTTGCATAATTTTTTTTAAAATTTCTAATGTGTGGAATGTGTAGCAAAGTTTTCATACAATTTTAAAAATTTCAACAAATTGAACACTATTAACAACCAAAACATATAATTTTTTTTCCAAATGAAATAAAATAACAACTTTTTTCAAGAATTTCCTTGTTTGTCCGCTTTAAGTAAAGACTTTATTTTAATTTAAAAAGGGGTTTTTTAAACTTTCTTGTGTATATATTTTTTTTTTTTGTAATATGACATTTTTACTATCATTTTATGGTAAATTTTTTCTCTCTACCGACAATACAACTTACCCTATTGTCTATTGTCCTTAATAGAGCATATATGCAAAAACCTGATTTCTTTAAACTTTGACCTTTTCTTTTTAGCTTAGTGGACATAGGCAAATATGCAATTACTTAGTAGCCACCTCTATAATGTAACTAGTTTAATGTAACTAGTTTATCAACCCTTCTATATATATAATTTTTTATATTAAAAAAATAGCTAATTTTTCTATAAAAAATCACATTTTTATCATTATTTTAATGTCCTTTTTTAATTCAATTCTCATTTAGTTTAATTTTATTCCAACATAAATTGTTTAAGTTGTGTAGCCAACGACAAACTTACTCGGCGTAGGAGATACCGTGATCATGAAGGCGGTTCTCCCGGAGTGTAGCTCAATCATTGCACTTCGATTGAGTTCACCTCCGCGATATTCCGAATGGGAATTGTTCGTGCGTGCAATTTTTGGAAGCCGGGATTGGAGATAGCTCCATCCCGACATTGTTTAATAAATTTCAATACAATTTTTTTTTATATAGTCTAGTCTACAGTTTAGAACAGTCTAGAGTATAGTCGAGTCTATAGTCTAGTGTATATTCTAGGCTCTAGTTTAGTCAAGTCTAAAGTTTAGTCTTGTCTAAAGTCAAATCTATAGTCTAGACTGTAGTCTAGTCTATAGTCTACAGTCTATAGTCTAGTCTATAGTCTAGTCTATAGTCTTGTCGATATTCTGGTCTATAGTCTAGTCTATAGTCTAGGTCTAATCTATAGTCTATTCTATAGTCTAGTATATAGTCTAGTATATAGTCTAGTCTATGGTCTAATCTATAGTCTATTCTATAGTCTAGTATATTATCTAGTCTATGGTCTAATCTATAGTCTATTCTATAGTCTAGTCTATAGTCTAGTCTATAGTCTAGTCTATAGTCTAGTCTATAGTCTAGTCTATAGTCTAGTCTATAGTCTAGTCTATAGTGTAGTCTATAGTCTAGTCTATAGTCTAGTCTATAGTCTAGTCTATAGTCTAGTCTATAGTCTAGTCTATAGTCTAGCCTATAGTCTAGTCTATAGTCTAGTCTATAGTCTAGTCTATAGTCTAGTCTATAGTCTAGTCTATAGTCTAGTCTAGTCTAGTCTAGTCTATAGTCTAGTCTATAGTCTAGTCTATAGTCTAGTCTATAGTCTAGTCTATAGTCTAGTCTATAGTCTAGTCTATAGTCTAGTCTATAGTCTAGTCTATAGTCTAGTCTATAGTCTAGTCTATAGTCTAGTCTATAGTCTAGTCTATAGTCTAGTCTATAGTCTAGTCTATAGTCTAGTCTATAGTCTAGATAGATAGATAGATAGATAGATAGATAGATAGATAGATAGATAGATAGATAGATAGATAGATAGATAGATAGATAGATAGATAGATAGATAGATAGATAGATAGATAGATAGATAGATAGATAGATAGATAGATAGATAGATAGATAGATAGATAGATAGATAGATAGATAGATAGATAGATAGATAGATAGATAGATAGATAGATAGATAGATAGATAGATAGATAGATAGATAGATAGATAGATAGATAGATAGATAGATAGATAGATAGATAGATAGATATCTGCGTTTCAAGCCTTGAGTTTCGACTTCTGTGTCTCCGTTACCTAATATTAAGTATGTCTCGTGTAAGTTAGAATTTCCAAACGGAAATATAAGAGATAAGAGATATTTTTTGTAAAACAGAGATATTTTTCGAATTCGGTGCATAAGTTCTTTAAGAGTTCGAACATTTCTCGCCCATAAATGATTTGGTCCAAACTCCCGTATCTTGTTCGAAATCGCCATTGAAATTCTATTGATATTTCGATTAATATCAAATGTCATTATTATACCCTCCACCACCATCAGTGGTGATAGAGGGTATATATAAGTTTGTCATTCCGTGTGTAACACCAAGAAATATTCGTCTGAGACCCAACAAAGTATATATATTCTGGGTCCCTATGAAATTCTGAGTCGATTTAGCTATGTCCGTCTGTCCGTCTGTCCGTCTGTCTGTCTGTCTGTCTGTCTGTCTGGTTAAAACACGCTCACGTCAAAACTAAGCAAAAGAAATCAGCCAAATTCACTAAGAATATTCACTATTTTCCTAAGCAGTTTGGTATTGAAAATCAGCAAAATCGGTTCACAACGTAAAAAGTTATAAGTAAAAATTTCAGACTACCTCGAAAAAAAATAAGGTTTTTTCATAATTCTTTTGAAGTTTTCTCGGAAACTACCAAAGATATTTCGATGAATTTTGTCACACATTATTTTTTCAGGGCAGTAATCAATTATGTTCAAAATCTTTACAATCGATCCAATATTTACCATAGCCCCCATACAAAGGTATATATTCCCGGAAATTAGTTTATCGTTAATAACTCCCTCATATATATCGGTATCAACACAAAATTTTGTACATGCAAATATAATATGAATAGAAATCATACTATCAACGCAGATCTCAGTCGGTCCACAATTGGTCATAGCTTTCATATAAGGTCCACTTCCGAAAATCACCTAAACGCACATATTTCTTTGATGAGTAAAGCTATTGTGATAAAAGTCGAGTTAAATGTGTTTTGTATACATACAAATCATTCTACCAAATTTTTTACGGATCGGTCCATTATTGGTCATAGCTCCCATATAAGGCCCACTTCCGAAAATCACTTAAAAACACATATTTCATTGTCAAATAAAGCTATCGTGATAAAATTTGACATAAATAGATTTTGTTGTATGAATTACTCTACTAAATTTTTTCCGAATAGGCCTTATATGGGAGCTATGACCAATTATGGTCATAGCTCCCATATAAGGTCCACTTCCGAAAATCACTTAAACGCATATATTTCATTGTCAAATAAAGCTATCTTCATAAAATTCGACACAAATATGTTTTGTCTTTATATGAGTCACTCTACGAAATTTTTTCCGGATAGGCTCATAATAGGTCATAGCTCCCATAGAAGGTCCACTTCCGAAAATCAATTAAACGAATATATTTCATTAAATTCTAAAGCTATAAGGATAAAATTCGACTTGAATATGTAATGTGTACATATAAATCATTCTACCACTTTTTCCCCGGATCGGTCCATTATTGGTGATAGCTCCCATATAAGTTCCACTTCCTAAAATTACTTAATCGCACATATTTCATTGTTAAATAAAGTTATCTTGACAAAATTCGACACAAATATGTATTGTCTTTATATGAATCACTCTACGAAATTTTTTCCGGATAGGCTCCCATAGAGGGTCCACATACGAAAATCAATTAAACGCATATATTTCTTTGAATAATAAGGCTATCGGGATGAAGTACGATTTGAATATGTTTTGTGAGCATATAAATCATTCTACCAAATTTTTTCCGGATTGATCCATATATTGTAGTAGCTCCTATATAAGGTCCACTTCAAAAAAATCACTTAAACGCACATATTTCATTATCAAATAAAGGTATCTTGATAAAATTCGACACAAATATGTTTTGTGTAAGGTCATAGCTCCTATACATATAAAGTCCACTTCCGAAAATCACCTAAACGCAAATATTTCATTAATTAATAAATCTATTGTAGTAATCATTATACTAAATTTTTTCTTTATCGGTTGATAATTGGTCACAACTCCCATATAAGGTCCATTTCCGAAAGTTACTCAAATGCACTTGATAATCAAAGTTATCGGGATAAAATTCGACATAAATGTTTATTTTGTATATATAAATCATTCTACGGATTTTTTTCTTCCGGATCGGTCCATAGGTTGTCTTAGCTCCCATATAAGGTATACTTCTGAAAATCACTTAATATCACTTAATTCGTAATTAAATGATTATATCCGGATAAAATTCAAAATGAGTATGTTCTGTGTACAGATATATCATTATATTAAAATGTTTTCAAACTGGCCTATTAATATACATTTTTCTCGACCTAATTAAATTAGTTTGACATATGCATAAATGTTAGTACCCTCAATAAGGAAACAAAAATTTCGCCAAGTTATCTAAAAATTAGATAGTTAAATGGGTCTCAATGAAAAGTAGCTTGCTGGTGGAGGGTATTTAAGATTCGGCAGAGCCGAATATAGCACTCTAACTTGTTTTCCTTTAAAATACTCAAAATTGCAATTATCTTTAAAAATATTTATAATAACTATTGCTTAAATTATATTAAACTATTAAAACTTATTAATATAAATTTCGAAATTCTATCTTTCTCATTGTAGGATTGCCGACAACCCTTCCATGGTGGTTCATTCTTTGATCACGAAGGTTTGCCCTACTGTGAAACTCACTATCATGCCAAACGTGGTTCATTGTGTGCTGGCTGTTCGAAACCTATAACGGGTCGCTGTATTACAGCCATGTTTAAGAAATTCCATCCGGAACATTTTGTTTGTGCCTTCTGTTTGAAACAATTGAATAAGGGTACATTCAAGGAACAAAATGATAAACCCTACTGCCACACTTGCTTCGAAAAGATTTTTGGTTAACAAAACTAAGCGAGGGAAATTGTCTGTCACACGTCTGCGAAGAAAGAAAAAAAGTCTAAATAAAATGAAATTTTAATAAAGATGTGTTAAAAAGAAAATATAAAAAATATATATTTATGTTACTAATCTGCAATAAACAGGCACAATAAAGTTAAGATTTTATTATAATTTCTGTTATATTTAAATCCTTTAACAACAACAACAACAGATAGAAATACACTAAAGTGTATTATTTAATATTTTTTTTTTAGATTTTTAAGTTTAATTAAAACAAATCAAATCTAAACGCACATACAACACACACTCACTTATTTTATAATGCCTTTTAGCAATCTTGTATGTTTGTGTAATTTATGTATGTCCAAGTATCCTTTAGCCAGGATATTAACCCCCATTTCAACTATTACTTGCTAATCTTATTATTATTATTATTATTACTATAACTATTATTAAATTTATTTACAATTATTTTTGTACTACTGTATTGTATTTGTGTAATATTTTTAATATATTTTTTATTTTTTGTAATTTGCCGTTATATTAAAGTTAAATTTAAAACAACTATTTTTTTTGTAATTTTCTATTCCATTTTGTGCCAATCTTTATTAAGCAGAATATTTAATTTTTTTCTAAATTAAATTATAATTAAATAGTTCTTTTTGTTAAGAATTTTTTATGGAACACTTTTTTTTATTCTAAACAAATTTAAAAAAAATATACATTAAAACCGTTTTATTTAAAATTAATTACAATTTTTTTATATAATTTTTGTATGAATTTTTCATAATTATAATTTTTATTATCACAAAAAAAAATGCATTTTATGCAATAACAAATTTGTTAAAAAACAACATGAAAATTTATAGCTTTTCAATTATTAATAATTAAACTTTTAAAAATGGTAAATTGAACTAATGACGAATAAATAAATTTAATAACGACCGAAAATAAATTGTGTTTTTTTTTCTATAATACAAATGACATGTGGCAAAAACTCTAATTTCCTACAGAATTTTGTCCATCAAGTCATTTTCTGAAGGGGACTTTATATGGGAAAATCAGCAGCATCATTCACTCCTATTCTGCATTTCAATTCGAATCGAAATTTTCTCCGTTTGGCAACTTTGGTATTCCGAATCTCGATTCAAGGCTCCGCCACTAAAAGAACAACAAAAACGTAGTTACGACCATACAGCATTGAAATAATATGGAATTGCTTTTTCTTACGATTCCGTTTTTTGTTGGAATACCAATTGAATGCGGAAACGTAATCGAAATGCAGAATAGGGGAATATTTTTGGAATGATACTAGAACATTTAGGTTTAGGTAAGAATTGTAGCCACTCAAACAAGTTTAAGTGGCTCAAGGGGATCCGTCTGATTTCGGTCCCGTTGTGATGCCCTATTGGTCATAGGAGTTTTTTTCCTACAAAAATAATTCACTACTTTCAGAGTTAAACCAACCGGTTCGAATCACGAATTTTAGGTTATTCTTTACATTTATCGCAGATATATCCTCCATATAGGAGAGAACAGCAGATCTAAAATAGAGTTCCCTATTCCCAATGTCGGACAGTAACAGAGAAGATGAGATATAGTCTTTGTACTGGAGACCCATTCTTCTGGCGTGATTGCAAATAACACAGTGTCCCGTTATTACCGATAACAGCGTTCTAATTTGCTAGATTTAGGGGCATCATATAGAGGCCATGTTGACCTCGAAGTTAGACATGTGGTTTCACTAAACCAACTGATCTGAGCCATTTCATATAGTTCATTTTGAACAAGTGCTTTACAGTTTGTAAGGGAGATACCAGTGAAGGCGTCGATCTCATTCTCCCCTCGCATTGCACCGTTTCTGGCAAGTTCGTCATCAATACAGTTTCCCAGACAATTACTATGTGCAGGGACCCTTATTTGCGTTATCCAAGAATGTCTTGCTATTTCATTAAGAAATACCCGCATTTCTTCGGTTAACCTAGATGTCGTAAAGACACCCTCTAGGTTTTTAATGGCAACTTTGCTGTCCGTATACAGCACTTCCAAGATACTTGAAACGATTGCCTGACAATGGCAAAGAAAGTGCTCCAGAGTCTTATTGTCTTCTCTGCATTATCTACATTCGTCTGAATCCGCACGTCCAATTTTGCAGCTGTTCCCGTAATCCTATGGGTCAGAATACTTACCATCATACTAACCTCAGACTTGCTCAGTTTGAGAAGGCTTCTTTTCCTGCTCTCGTTAGGGCCATCCCATAGAATCTTTGTGGTTCTACCCACCGTTTCATTATTCCTAAAGACATTAGTGATGCCTCTCAAACATATATTAACCTCTTCCCTTTAAACCTTTTACATTCGCTCTTTCGTTCCCGACTACTCCCGTGTGGCCTGTTACCCATATGATACCCTACCTCTGGTTCTTCAACATAGAACCCCAAGCCCACTTTGCCCCCAAATTAAGAGACATTCGTGTATCAAGGGGCATTTGCTCTGATGTTCCGCGTGACCATGACATTCTATCAGCGTTTCAAAATTTCCGACAGGCACGTCCGATGATTGTGTATAGCCTTCCAATGTGTCCAGTATACATTGATGACGTGTCCTATAACCGCTTTTGGCCAGTACGCCTAAGGTAAAGAGCCGTTCGGTTGTAAGTGCAGCCTCATATCTTAAATATGTTTCAATGGGTAGACTACTTATCTAGCAACATTTTCAGAGTCTACTCATGGCACCACTTATATCCAATATTACACTTTTTGTCCAAAGAAGTCCACCAGATTCTTGAAGCATAAGCTATATTTGGTCTAATTACACTTTTATAAAGTCAATGTCTCATAGTAGGACTAAGACTCCATTTCAGGACTATGGTTCACCTATATATTGCCCAGCAACAATGTGCCTTGTTGATCCTATCATCTATGTGGTGTCTCCATTTTAATTTCCAAAACTAAATGACAACAATTATCACACATGGAAATTTAATGTGGAAATGCTATTGTTGGACCGTGAATTATGGGATGTTATAACGTCTGATTTCTCGGAGTAGCCGGATGATAAATGGCTTGTACGAGATCGAAAAGTTCGTGCTGTAATTGTAATTTGGAAGAAAAAGACAGGTACAAATAAAGAAACAGAAATTAAATAAAGAAACAGAAATCGATTAATAGCGAAAGATTATGCACGAAGAAATGGTCAATACTTCGACGAGATATTTGTTCCCTTTGTCAAGATAACAACACTAAGTACTTTACTAACAGCACTAAGTACTTTACTAACAAAAATAAGTACTTTAATAACAGTACGTAACAGTATAATATGTTCGAAAACAATATAGACATGCAAACTGTGTTTTTAGTGGTGAAATAGTTACCGAGAATATTAGATAAATAAAAATTAAATTTCAATTTAGATGAAATATTGTCCTCTACTATCAGAATCTGGTTTAATTTATCAAATCCTTTGCTTTGTTTACCAGTTATTTAAAAAATAGCAAAATGAGATTAAACATTGGATTATGCCAATCCTGTACGCTACAACATATACATATAATGAATTGAACGTTTCTTTGTTGGCAAAGGAATTTTAAATATTTTGTTAAGTGGAATTATTTGGTTATCCACCCTTAATCCGTGCACTAACACTACATAACGATTTCCGCCCTTGTTTTTATACTCTTTCTTTCCTTTTAACCTTAATAATTCTTATTTAGTTTGTAATATTTTCAACATAAGTAATGAAGTTTAAGCAACGAAAAGCATACTTACCTGGCGTAGGGGCTACCGTGATCATGAAGGCGGTTCCCTCGGAGTGAGACTTGATCATTGCACTTACGATTGAGTTGACCTCCGCGATTATTCCTAATGTGAATAACTCGTGCGTGTAATTTTTGATAGCCGGGAATGGCGTTCGCGCCGTCCCGAAGTTATATAATTAATTTCAGATACAATACAAGCAATTATACAAAAAGGAAGAAAGGAAAACGTTTAAGAGTAATGATATATCTTAAGGTGGAATTTGCAACAACCTTCTAATACCACTCCACCATGCTAACACAAGGCTTTAATTATTCGTTCCAAAATAGATTATTTGAATACATTTTTGGAACTAATGGTATTACATTTATCTATCGATGAAGAAGAATCATATCATTCTAAAAAGCCTCTAAAGAGTAGTTTGAGAACTAGTGTTATAAAACGATTTCTATACTAATACTAAATTAAATCCAGTTTCATAATGGAATATCGCGAAGAAAACTTGCAAAATTGTTATCAACAAGTAAGAGTGTTATATTCGGCTGTGCCGAATCTTGTATACCCACCATCAAATCATTGCCGAAAAGAAATGCTTCCTTATAAATAAACTTTGATTTTAAGAATCGATGCTTTCGTTATTATCAAAACAATTTTCTCATTTATAACATCTATGTATAATTTTACCATCACACATATGTGTATCGTAAGGATAAATTTTGGACTAATCCTCCTAAAATTAGGTAGAGAAATTTTGGCTCGAACAAAACTTGTTTATGTCGAATTTCGTCGCTGTACTTGTATTTTTAAGGTAGTAAAAAGCGTTAAAGTCATTTTCTGAGAGGGACCTTATTTGGGGGAGAGGTTTGGTCAGTTATGGACCGATCCTCGTCAAATTTTCTAGAACGATTTTAGTTTAGGCTAGTAATGAGCGTTAAAGCCATTTTCTGAAGGGGACCTTATATGGGGGTAGGGTCAATTATGAACCGATCCTTATAAAATTTTAAAAGGCGATTTAGGTTCCTATAAAATATATTCATGTCGAATTTTATCGCTATAGATGCTTCTTTTAGACAGTTATCCGTTATAGTAATTTTCTGACGGGGAACTTATATGGTGATAGGGTCAATTATGGAGCGATCATTATAAAATTTTACAATGATATTAAGGTTCCTATAAAATATGTTCATGTCGAATTTCATAGCTATTGATGCTTCTTTTACACAGTTATGAGCGTTAAAGACATTTCTGAAGGGGACCTTATATGGGTCCATTTTCAATACCAAACAAACTTCATCAATATAAAATGTCTATGCTAGTCCGCTAGCTACTTCCGTTAGTACTCTATCGTGTTTTCAACAGACAGACGGACAGACATGGCTAGATCGTCTTAGAATTTAATAAGGATCCAGAATATATATACTTTTATGGGTCTTAGATGAATATTTCGATGTGTTACAAACGGAATGACAAAAACAATATACACCCCATATTTTTTGATGGTGGGTATAAAAACAGATACCGCTTACATCATGAAAAGAATACATGAACTTTTTAATTTTGGTGAAAAAGGCTCTTTATACTTTATAATTCTTGCATAGTTAAAAATATGTTCAACATAAGTGATGAAGTTTGAGCCACGAAAAGCATACTTACCTGGCGTAGGGGTTACCGTGATCATGAAGGCGGTTCCCCCGGAGTGAGGCTTAATCATTGCACTTACGATCGAGTTGACCTCCGCGATTATTCCTAATGTGAATAACTCGTGCGTGTAATTTTTGTTAGCCGGGAATGGCGTTCGCGCCGTCCCGATTCAATAATAAATTTCAAATACCAACAATATATGCAACTTTTCGTCGTATTACTATAAATTGTACTTCTTACATCCATACGAAGCAATTCTGATCCTATAGTAAGTAAAAGAACTCCGAAGAAATAAGACTTTCGATTTGGGAGCTCCAATTGCATGTTTTTCCTATACGTCAAAATTTTGTGATAAAAATGTTTTAACTTAGGATCCTCCTTCATTAGTGCTCCACTGACAAAATTTTAATTCTACCAATTTATTTCCAAAAAACCATCAAAATCGTTCAAAACCTACCTAATTTGTCACCTGAAATGCAAAATGTGTTATGATACATTTATTTCTTGAGATCCTTTTTTAATTTGTGTAGGGAAACTTCCTTTAAGAGATG